GCTAGATGGCAGCCTAAATTTACTAGTCGGTACAGTGAAGTAATATCTAGTACCGATAGATGGCGAAACATATGTTACCAGTCGGTAATAAAATACAGATAACTCACACACTATATGTTTTTATTAATTGATTAAAAATAAATGCAACCCACAAATCAATTTTTACATGATAAAAGTAAGTTTATTTTAATAGTATTATAATATTTACCTCTTCTTTTAACAAAATTATTATATTTGCCTCCAACATATTATTGTCTAGATTATTTTTAGTCAGAACAGCTGCATTCTATTCACATAATAATTCACATGGAATTCTTTGCAAGGAAGATATTAATTTATATAAATACATAAATTTTTCTTGGCAGTCGATGAACAATAATGTCTTCCATCATCGTTTAGAAAACCTGGTAAAAGATTTTGTACAAGAATAGAGTTTTCTAATATAATGCATTTGCCTTTTGTTTTCTTAATTTGTGATAACTAGGATGCATTCCTTCTACTAATCTTCTGATAGAATATTGCTGCATATGGTTTCTTCCAAATGTAAGTATAATAAGAACAGTGCATTCAAAAATCTTTCATTGTTGCAGTATTGTTGGATTCTTCTTATCATTCTTGATAGTAATGAGTAGACATTTCCAGTTTACTTCCCCTGTTGTATGAATCAGTTTATCAATCAGTTTAATATATAACTGTTATATATAATATATATCAGTTTAATATTACCAACGAACTTTTCAGAAATACCCTACCATACAAACTTTTCAAAAATACTCCTACTCTACGAACTTTACAGAAACACCTCACCCTACGAGGATAGTTTATTATGTTGTATGTTCATAGTGACATCTCTGAAGATGGATTTTCCAATTTGTTAAAAATCATTTTTAATTAAAAAAATCGTTAATAAATTATTTGTTCGATCATAATTAATGCATAAAATTAAAGCTTTTTAAAAAATTATATTAATTGGAATAATAGAAAATTGTTTATTGAGCATAAAGTTACATATTACAAATGTGGTAATAATAATAATAATCATAATAATAATAATAATAATAATAATAATAATAACGTAATAAGCAGGTCTAATTTCAGTAATATCAATATCATCAATATTGCAAACTACATATATTGTCTGAAAATTTTTTCCACCAGTGGGTTATGAAATGGTAAAATAAACCAGCTAAAAAACTGTGATTTTGAAAGAAAAATAACAAAAATAACAATAATAATAATGATGATGATAATAATAATATTAATTTTATTAATAATAATAATAATAATAATAAAAAAAATGGTAATAATATTTACGAAGAATGATAATCAATGATATATTTTTCAATAGCTCAATCTATATGAAAAATTACATTTAAAGATCATTTTACAAACTTCAGATTTGTATTGGCTTGACTAGCATAATTAGAAGCATTGACATTATAGTTAATCATATTAAGAAAACGAATGAAAGCACGTCTATGTAACGAATATTTATCATACATGTTTTAAATATACATAAAATATATACGTATAACGTATATAAACGAGAGAGTGTAGATGTATGTGTGTGTGTGTGTGTGTGTGTGTTGTGTGTATTAAATATGCTTTTAATAAATTAGATGAAAAAAAATGTACATATAATTACTAATGTTATATTACAAGTAGATAGTACTTATAGTACTATCACCCACCACAGGATAAGCACTTTTGCTCCACTGATTCGTACAGGATTCGTTATTAAGTAATTGCTTGGAAATTTGGAATAATATATCGGTGATTTCGATACACATTCTTATAATTTTATTATTTAATTAAACAGTGATTATTATATCTGAGATAGACATCGTTTTTTGTTCTGTAAATGTTGTTTGCACGTAAAACCTTAATGAAATCGCACAGCCTATAATCGATGCTCAAATCAGTCGAGCAAATTCCTAAAAAAAAAAAAAGACAGAAAATAAAGAAAAGAGAGGAATTAAAAAAAAAAACCAATGCATGCTTAATGATTTAAGAAATGTTGAAAAATATAAATACAATTTGTAATAAATATACTAACATTGCCTAAAATACAAATTGCTTATCTAGTAATTCACCATGTGTCATAAAAAGTACTTAAAATAGATTCTAAACTAGTCTTTTGCATTCTATTTCTAAAATTTGTATCAAGAACTTACTACTAAATCAATTATAGAAAATGTATAGTACTTCCTTCGCAAAGTTGGTTTCGATCATAGAGACCATATATATCTATCATATTTTTTATTATCTCTTTTTGTTGTTAATTTCATTTAATTGCAACCATGTCATGTCCTTAATTAATAAATACGCACATACAGTAACGTATATAATAATACTTCCTACATTTTAGAGTAAAGGAAATTAATATATTTGATTCTAATTCTATCTTATTATTTTCTTTTTAATATATAGCTCGAAATAAATATTTATTTAGAAAAACTAAGTATTTTTTTTGTTCCTTTTTCGCTCCTTCTTCTTCTTCTTCTTCTTCTTCTTCTTCTTTCTCTTTCATATTCTTTACAATTTTATTACGAATAACATGGCTCTCTTAATTCGAACCCCACTCTGCTAATCTAGGTTGATTATAATAATCGTATTAGTAATATCGTTAATGTAGACTTTTATGAAGTATTAAATATTGAATAACATATTTTTTTTTGTTTCATTGATACATAATTGTATATACGAATGGAAAAGTAAAACGTACGCACTATTCATTTTCTTTGTTTTTTTGTCGTCGATTCGTGAATAATTTATATCATTTTTTCGCGTAATAGATTTAGCTTTACATAACGCAGTAAGTTTGATAGAGCAAACTCCTTCAAAAAGTAGCACCTGTATAAAATATGTTCAAGCGCAACCACCTTTTGGTTGTGAATTTTACATACGTATCTTAACAAGGAAAAAAGTATCTTTTAGTAAAAAAAATTATTACAATTAAAAAGAAAAATGTCCATGCCATCAAATTTTATATCTTTATAAGCATATGGAATATACTATTACTTAAAAAATTCTTATGATTAAAAAGTATTACGAACACTAAAGTGGCAAGTATTCGTTTAGGATAAGATGTAGGTCTTTATAAAGCTTGTTATTATTCACGAAAGATTAGATGCGTGCTTTAAAGGTAACTACTCGTGAAATAATACTTATTTCGAATAAAATTTAATTTAAAAAATGTCTAAAAAGTTCTGAATTAGAGAGAGAGAGAGAGAGAGAGAGAACTGAAAAAAAGAATGTGTGGTTGTACAGAGATCTAGTAGAACAATAATAAAATTCGCAATAATACGAAATGTATATAAGATACAATCAGTTACATGGATTGACATACCAGTTTCATAAACGTCTCTTATTAGATAGTTCAGTCAGAGTAGGATAATTATAGAATGACAATGTGCCATAAACTTACGAACAACACGAGAATGATACAAATTCTAATTTAATGTAGTAAAAAATATGCCGCATTGTGACGTTCAAGAACTAGTTTTCGGCCAGGCTATTTTCGCATCGATTCGTTTATAGGCAAAAAGGCAGTGATTGAGCTCTTGCGGACATTCCTGATCACCTAACAGCGTTTCTACAAAATCAGATATAATATATAACAGATATCAATACCTGTAATTATTAATTAAACTCTTATTATGATAAAGTAAGAATAATTGAATTTTTTAAAGCATGATTAGCATTTTTTTAGTCTATTTTGAAAAATGAAAATAATTAGAAGAAACATTTTTACATTTTTCCACATTACGTGTTCGAAAAAGATGACAAATAATAAATCAGTATAATACCTTCTCCTTGCACCAATTTGAAAAGACCATAATCTTGAGGGTTGGTGCATCTTATTTTGTGTGCAAGAATACGACAAATATCTCTGGTATTCATATTCGGTCGCACTGGTAAAGTTCTGGTATTCAAGGAACCATGTAATTCATCCGGTACAAGAATACGTAAAACGGAAGAGCAGTCAGGTGTTCCAGAGCCCTAAAAAAGAAAAAATTTCAATAGAATTTTTAGAATCAAATGAATTTGTATTCTTTTAATTGATAATTTTCTTGTTTTTTTTCTTTTTTAAATAAAAGTTTTTTAAAAATTCGTAATTCCTTACGTTTAACGTGGACATTGTTCCATGGCTAGATTTAAAAGTCTTCAAAACGTGCACTGCACTAGAGAGCGTTGTCAGATAATAACCACCTTCTCCAGTAAGAAGAGAAGGATGAAGGAGGCCCCACATATATTCAGCTTCGACCTCAGCATCAACAACCTTACCACGAACTAATACCCACACGAGGAGAGGTAAAAGATCGTCGGCACCCAGGGTCACATGCTTTACAGAATTAGAATGTTTTACCTGGGAGAAAAATAATAAAATTGAATATTAAAGAGAATTACCATATTACATCGAAATATCAAGTATTTATTGTATATTTACAGAATTAAAAATTGCGGATATTGCAGCTAATAAATTCTCCAGTTTATCCAATGGTGAATCTGCTTTCTGTAGTCGTTCTAAATATTTCAATATACGTTCCAGGCTAGATTCCGACGGTGGTATAATTTTTGCCTGTTCAATAATATAAGGATAAAGAATTTCTATTATTATATTCGATTATTATTTTATAATTTAATATTTCCTGTATTATAATATATTTAATTTAAATATGTGAAAGTATATAAAAAGTATATAAAAAAAAAAAATAATAATTTATAATTATGTTATAGTAAGTAGTTTTCTATTAAAAACTATAATGTTTTTTTGATTAATAGTTAATAATTGAAAAGTATACTAACTCGGACACCAAGATCTTGAACATGTTTACCCTGGGCATGTTGAATACTTTCAGCGAGTGTTTGAAGAGAACCTGTACTAGCATAATGATCCACAAAAAGCCTATAAACATGTTCTCTGAGTGGTCGTACAACGAGTCCCATCATCACACCTTCCAGAATGGCATCGAGATTCAAAAATTCGTTTGATTTTAATTTTAATCTTTCCTTCTCAACTTCTTTCTCAAACTCTCGTTCACCGTGTTTTACCAAATAATTCTTCATTCCCGACATAAATTGTCGCATATTTCTCATAACTACATGAGGACTTGCTTCTTTTCCTTCCTTCGTACATTGAATGAAATTGTCAATGTTTTGAGAGAACGTTGTTGTTTTATCGGCTGCTAATTGGAGAGCGTAGGATCTTATGGTTGAACCAGTACCATTCATGTCGCGATTCCTCAAAGCTTGTAATCGTGGTGGTGCTAAAAATTGAAGAAGTTGACATACAACGAGAACAATCTATTGAATTATAAGATATCGAAAATAATCAATAACCATATGTACAAGATAATCATAATAATTATCTAAAGAAGAAATTGTAGCTAATAGGTTTGTGTTGGTGGTTTTAATATATTTTATATTATTTTTTGTTTTCTTTGTATAGGATAAGCTGCATATATTCTTCAACTTCTGTTAACTGCTTAAACAATAGACAGACACTCGCTTATGTTTATTGGCTACATCTCAGAATTCGATTGTAAAAAGTTAATGTTACTACACAAATAAGAAATATTAAACTCACACAAAAGCGGATCTAGTCTTTCCTTGAAGCTTTTGTTTCTCTTAATTCTTTCAATATCGCTCTCATCCGTATCTAGCATAGTTTCCCACTCAGAAGGATCATACGTTGGTTCTTTTTTCGATTCCGGAGTGTCTTCTCTTTCATTCCTCTTTTCAACATTATCGTAAGAGGAGTTCCTGTCGCTGTATAGAGACTCCGATATGTCCGGCGGTTTTAATAATTCTGGGTACCTATAAAAAAAATTATTTCTTTCCAATTCCAAACGATCTTACATTTTATCATTTAAACTTTTTGCAACAATATTGTTCTATTTCAAAAATAGTTTCTTACCGTTGCAGAATGATACTCTGAACAGTCAAAGTATTTCTTACAATATCTCTATCGCACTCCTCATCCGGAAATTTTCTTGCGACATTCTCGCCGTCGTAATCCGCATCACAGTCGTAATCTGGCTCACAATCATCTCCTTCATTTCCTAGATTTAATATTATAATCATTTATTTAAAAGATCTTTTCCTTTCTTTTGACATAGGGTAACATTAAATTAAATTTACCGATAAACTCCCAACTAGAATCGACGGCCCAGGATGTGTCGTTGAATACCTTGACTCTGATCTTTGGTGGTTGCACTGGCTTTGCCCGAGGAATTTTTTTCATTTCCCTCGTGCCAAGACGTTTAGCTAAATTGTCGACGGAAGATGATATCAATGGCGTCTTGTCCTCTGTTTCTTCCGTTTCCTCCCAGTCGATAGGATGTAATTGGTTCGAATTATTGCCAACCGGTGTTTGTAACCAGCCTGGTTCGCTATGACGATATTTATTTGTAGCCGGATTGTTCTTTGATCGTCTTCTTGGTACTATCGCGGCATTTTGAGCAATCGCATCAGCTGGTTCTGCATAAAATGGACTACCCTGTTTTGATTCAGGTGTCAATGGGCTGTTACTTTCTGATTTGGCAAGTATCAATCCTAGTTTATTTCTTGGCGGTGTCACTGCACTAGGACTGTTCAAAGAATTGGCACTACCTATTAAAAACGACGGATAGAATTATCATTAAAAATAATGGCTAATAAAAATAATACTATGAATATTAACGTTGAATAGACTTACAAACTCTAGAGAGTAGATCAGGCCTTCTTCCCATTCCCGTTTCTTCAGGTGATACTTGTTCGATACTTTTCATTTCGGGTACAGGTTTGAAACTACTGAATTCTGGACTAGCAACTTCTTTATAACAAAGTTTTTCATTTATAACCGACTTGTCGTTTCTCAAAATGAACCTTTCATTTCTTACAATAACCTGCTTGTTCCCTGTCAATCTGTCATCTTTTTGATTGGTAGATCTTTCAATCGGACTAAGTAATCTATCTTGGCTGATTAGTCGATCGTTGGAATTTCTTAAACGATCTTGAGCATTATTAGAACTACTTGGTGGATCGTTTCGTACGAGTCTATCATTCGGTGACCAAGTAGACTGATTTGATTGATCAGTTGTGTTCCAGATATCTTCGTAGTCTGAAATCTTATCACCTGGCGAGCTACGATAATAAGAATCAAGGATGTCAGATTCTTGATAATGTTGTGAATTCTTTCTAGCTTCACGATCGCGTCGTCGTTTCGATTTACTCGTGCTCGATGGTGTTGTGGGCGAGAGAATGTTAGGTGTTTTATTGCCAACGTTAGGAACTAATTTCGACGTAGGTGATAGTACTGGCATCGTTGGTGAAAGAGGAGATTTAATGGAAAAATTTGTTAAAGATTTGCTAGAGGTTGCACTTTGCGGACTCAACAATGACGTATTCGCTTCCGTCGGTGTATTTTGCTGTCAAAATTAGAAACAAATAAATAACTCAAATCAAGATAAATACATATTGAAACAATACATTCATTAGTTTTTTAAACGAACACTTACTTGCGACGCGATTATGTCATTAGTTTGGTTGACATTAAATGTAACCGTTGTTGTAACCGTGAAATTAGTTTGATTTTGACTGTGACTCTGATTCTGATTTATTCCAGGTTTAGCCCATCTCGGTGGTGGTGGTGGTGGAGTTTTAACATTCTGACCAACAATTTGAGTATCAGAAACAATAGACGAATTTGTGCACGAGGGATTATTGAAGTTGGAAATATTTTGATGGAAATTAGACGTAGATGTGCCGATCGAGGTAAACTTGCTAGTTCTTGAAAACTCGACGATCGTTGTCTTGGGTGTTTCAAGCATATTTCTCGTATTCTCGAAGTTTCCTTTAGTATCCTGGATGGGACTTAGAACATTACTTTCGACATTGTGAACGATCGGGGATGGACAACGTACGCTTTGCACTAAGTTTGGGGAGATCAATTTTTGTGAGAGCTTTTCGCACGGAGACATTATTTCGTGTTGATCTTTCTTCATGTCTAGTGGTTCATTAAAGGTCGTCAGATTAAGCGTATTGGGTGGTGTTGGTCTTGGCTGGCGTGGTAAAGATGACACAAACGTCGACGTTGTTCCTGTATTTGTTGGTGAAGAATTTTCTATAAAAAACGAAATACGATTTTTTCTTATAATATAATTTTCTAATAGATTTTGTTCTTCAATTAAAATTAATTGAATATTATCTGTTAAATTTATCTGTAAATTTATATCTTACGTATATCATGAGATGAAATAGGTGCGAGATTAAGAACAATGCTTTCTGTTGTTGGAGTACCAACGTTGTTGTTGTTGTTGTTATTATTATTATTATTATTATTATTATTATTATTGTTATTATTAAAATTGTTGTTACCTGTAAAAATTGAAATTAAAATTGTAGTAAAAAGAGTGAATCATTATATGTATGTATAATGCACTGAGTAAGATTATTTATTAAAAGAACTTACAACCATGGAAACTACTTAAACTTGAGGTATTACTACTACTGCTTTCTGGTGGTTTTGGATTCGCCATTGGATATCTCCAAAATTCTTGACCTAAAAGTGCCAAGGATGAAAGTTGCTGCCTATTTTTAGCCTCTCGCATTGCTCTCGGTAGTGTCAATTGCACTGGTAATTCATCACTACTTAGCAAATAAGAAAAAATTGAGGATTAATTAATCATCTCAGAAGAAGGCAACGTATTTGATTTTTCAAGATTAATTAAAACAAGACACACACACACACACACACACACACGAGTGACATCTACACATTTGTATAAATTTAACATTTCAATAGATAGAAAGATATTTAAATGAAAGTAAATAAACTTGATATATAAACGACTACTCACCAGCACTGGGAATAATGAGCTATCAATGAGGGGATGTTGTCGAACCTGTTCTCGCTTGTTTCCAAGCTCAACTTCCCCTTATTGGCTTGGATCAGGTAATGCTCGATGTAAGGTCCCTTTCCGGCAGGTAATCTCACCGAAAGGGCCATCGTGTCGCTTTGACTTGATTGTCGGACTACGAAGTTCTACAAAAATATAATATAAAATAGAAATACAAAAATATCATATTGTAATAAGAAAGAAGATAATATTTTGTAAAAAAAATTAGAAAAAATAGGATACATTTTATCTTGTTGTTGTTTTATCATATGTTCAAATGCATTTGTCAAACAAATAAATCAAATAAAAGAAGAAGAAGAAGAAGAAGAAGAAGAAGAAGAAGAAGAAGAAGAAGAAGAAGAAGAAGAAGAAGAAGAAAAAATAGTAAAGTTACAGATGCATAAGTGCGAGAATATCTCGACAATATTGAAGATGAAAAGAAATGAGGAGGACGAACGAGGAGAAAAGTAAAAACAATGCACCATCACGAATGAGTTTCTCAGAAAAAATGAAAAAAATGAAAAAATGAAAAAATAGCTGTCGGATGAGCGAAGGCACAAAAGCGATGCTCCTGCTGATTCTCCCGATGCTCAGAGAGAGCCGTATATAGGGGATGGGAACGAAACAGAGACAAAGTTACTCATGGAAGAAAGAGAGCAGCTCTCCTTCTCGATTGTGTTTGGTCCGTGATGCATGGATGTATTACGCATATATCGTAAATAATAGTACAGGTGCAACTATTACGATAATATCGTGCGAGTTCTTTTTCCATTTTTCACTTGGGAATCAATGTCAAGTAAAGAATATATATATATATTCATTTTCTACCAATTCCCCCTTTCTTGAATTTCGACTTTCCTATTTCTCGTAACATGACTCTTTGTACTCGTTTTCTTTTCTTTTTTTTGTCTTCTTCGAAAACAAGGGATGCTCATCGTTCTATAGAGAGTAATTGCAAGAAGCATTGTTACTCACTCGTTGAAATAGCGATAAAGGGAGATAGAAAATAAGGTAGTTGAGGACTGATTGTAGGGTGAGAGGTGGGATGGAATGGAATGGGGAGACCTCCAAGCAGAGAAATGCAAGAGAACGAGCATGACAATTAACAGAGCTGGAAAACAATAACAGCACAATGCTTCGTCTTGTTCGCAGTCGTTTTTAACGTTGATTACAGCGCAAGGCCTTTTCTTGTCTTGTCTCGTCTACAAGTAGTGATATTTTGTGATCATCACAAACATCACTATCACTATCCATTAAACTACCGTCACAATGTCTTACAAATATTCTTTTTTCTTCATTTTTTCATATATGATAAAAACCAAATACCAATCCCAAAAAAACCAAACCGAATGACAAAAAGAAAGGAAAAAATTCTTGAAAGTTTTATAATATATTTTTAACCTATTTGCGTATACAAGCAGAATAATTTGCACGTGTTTTATAAACAGTATGTAAAAACATATAAAATTGTTGTCTTAGTGCATTATCAGAAAATTTGATCATCCTTAATCGAAGTTTAGACGTTTTTTCTTTGGGGTGCAGAGAGAAATAAAAAAACGCGAGTGGACAGGCACACACAGATATAAAATATAATAATGATAATATAATCATAATTTATTTAATATGTTAATTAATATGTCGAGCGGTATTTACAAAAATGACGTTAATGTAGAAAACAGAGTACAGAAGAATAATAACAGATAGACGAAGATTAACTAACATAAGATTTTAATAGACAGATATTAACTTCCCCCTTCCTTTCTTATTTACGTTCACATATTTATATGAAAAATAAGCTAAAAAGATAATTGTACACACATTTCTATTGAAATTCGCTTTTGATAAAAGTTTTCCCATTGACTTTTGATTATAATTAGGACGTGACCGTAGTTAATAAGATTTTACGTAAGAATACAACTAGTATGTGAAAAGATTTTCCATCAAGAATTCGTACGCTTTGGCACGAGAAGCTTTCACAATGATTGCAAGAGGCTCTCTTAAGGCATTGACACGATTTGCCATCTGGGACCACTTGGCTCTGTTCCTATTCTTCTTCTTCATCTTTATCTTCGTCTTCCTCCTCTCACTTTTCCTCACGTTGGAATATTAGATAAGATTGCACGGATGCACTCATTGTTCTCTCTACCTCACTCCTCCTTTTCCTCTCAACTTTCCTTTACAACGTTCGATACGAACGGAAATAAAGAGAAATATCAAGTCTGAGATACACGACGAATAAAATGATAACGAATAAAATGATGACGAATAATTGCACGCGTCAAAACTATAACCTTTATCCAGATGCGAAACTTATCAGAAGATAGAAATTTTTATCAATGTTAGATAAAGTTATTTAAATATTTAATAATAAAAGATAATAATTATCTTTAATTTATTTAACATTAATTGTTCTCATATTGGAATAAAAAAAAAGTAATAAAAAAACGAGGAGAATGATATAATTATTTATCTTCTAATAATCAAATACATGCACTATTTGAAGAATAATATTCTCAATGGTGTACGTACATAAAAGTTGGAAATGTTCACTTGGAGAAAAGCCAAATTAAAAAGAGAGAGAGAGAGAGAGAGAGAGAGAGAGAGAGAGAGGAAGAGAAGAAGAGTCAGGGGTATTTCGATGGTACTGTATCTGTCGTTTACGTTTATTACCTATTAAAATGGTACACGCGGTGAGTTTGCCAAATAGCCGCAAACAATTTAATTTATCGTTCTGCCTTTGTTTGAGCAAGCAACAAGAGAGAATTACAATTTCCAGATGCCGTAATCCAAAGTAATCAACTCTTTGTTTGTGTTTCTCTGATAATCGTCGGATAATTTTCCTCGTTTAAATATCTTTCAGCTTCTTTGGTATAGAATTTTCGTGAAATGAGTTTTAAAGCAACTACCAACTATCCTATGATATGCTTTAACAATGCACAGTACACTCTATTCTCCTAGTCCTCTCTCTCTCTCTCTCTCTCTCTCTCTCTCTCTCTCTCTTACGAATCCATAAATTTGCGGTTTAAAGATATAGATAAATGCGCACGCGCTATTCTATCCCTCTACCCTCAATACTTTCTCCGTGTAATTTCTCCTCTCTTCTCTCTTATTTTGTACAATTTAAAATGCACAATCATGGTTTGATTATCAAAGTGACTTTATGAGAAATAATCGCATTTGCGCGCAAGTTTCCTTTTTTCCTTGTCATTCTTTTGTTAAAAAATCAACGAGAAGAAGAGTAAATAACAGAGAAAAATAAAGGAGAGTATAAAATCAAAACGTAACTGCAAGTTTTTGCACGCTCTATAGAAACTACGGGGATAGGGTTCTTCATTGGGGAGATTCTTTGGTTTCCCCAAAGTTCTCCTCCGTATTCCAAGTCTTCCGAACACGTGTTGAACGTTATAAATATTATCGGTTAATTGTCCGTAACTTAAGTACGGACAAAGTCGTGAAAAATATGTTGAAAAGATCTTTTTTCATAATTTCTTCTTCAAAAGCAAAACGTTGAGATGAAAGATACTAATTAAAAACAGTGTACCGTAGAAAATTGTCCCAACATGTTGGAATTTCTCGAGACAGTAAATAAAGGATTACCAACGGTTGGTAATTAGAAGTGTTTATTTCGTGTTTTTATTAACAAAAGTTAATGATCAAATAATATTTCTGCAAGTATCTTAAGACTAATTAACACTCACCCCTTCCTCCTTTCCTTGCAACAAGTGGAAAGCCCCAGCCCTTTGAATACCAGGGAGGAACCAAATCGGATGAGATCGTATGAGCCTTTCGATCAGCGTTATGTCACATGCCACCTCGCTGCCAGAATCTTCCGTAGTTGTTGAAGATCCTCCCGAGGTGGCCGAGCCTTCCGAAGAAAGCGATTCTTCGCTCTGAAAATTAAGAGAAAAATAATATTTATGATCATCTTTCAAATGAATAAATGAATTGCTTAAGAATCATTTTAATGAATGACAACGATGGAATTCTTGGTGTAGTAATTGTCGTCAGTGTTTTGGTGAAACGATTTTAGAAGGGTGTTGCTGCTCGTTGCAAATCTTCCCTGACTCGTCATAAAGCGGCTGGATTTAATGCGACGACGTCGTCGTCGTCATGTCGTTGGGAGAAAGAGAAGAGAAGAGAAGAGAAGAGAAGAGAAGAGAAGAGAGGGGGTTGGTTATCTTAATTTGCAGCAGCCGAAGAGAAAGGTATAAAGGAAAAGAAAAAAAAATAATTGAAACTTTGTTTCATTTTGAAAAAGATATTAGCCACTGAAAAGATTTGTTGATTTCAATTCAATTCTTTCCCTTTTGGTAAAACAGATTTTTTCTTTCATTACTCGATCTTAATTATCCTCGATTCGAATATTTACGTAGCGATAATCGATCGATTTTGTAACCGTTAGTTTTGTTTGTAAATAAGTGACTCAAACCTAACTAAATAAGAGGGAGATAAAAAGAAAAGTATCTATCTTTTCAATCTTTTCAAAAGGATCATCATAAGTACTCTGATGACGCGACAAATATATATGTCACTCGCGTATAACTTTTTTCGACGAGTAATTAAGGGATTTGCAATTAGCTTCGGGGCCTCTCAGCACGTGCCTCACGTCCACGTTTAATCCCTTTAGCCTGAAATGCCGTTGTGTGTGTCAGTCTGCATTTCAAATTAAATTACACTCGAAACGGTCGCCCGCACGCGAATCCAACCCCTACGACAACGACTCCTCGTCTCTCATTCTACCCTCAACCGTCTCCTCTTCTTCTTCTTCTTCTTCTTCTTCTAAGTATCCTGTCTTTGCTTTCAACTTATTTGAATAAAATATAAAACCGGTTTATTATTATTATTATATATTATCGATCTATTTCAAGCGACTTTCTTCATTTTCCTACTAAACCTAAAGATAGTTCATTGTTTTATTTTTGCTTTCCTCTTTCATTGTTTTACCTGATAAGATGCTTCGTTTACTTCCGTGCACTCTAATTTGATTCGTTTAACTGATCAAGTTGTAGCAGGGTCAATTTAGCTAACGTTTTACTAACGTAACAGTTCAAGAAAGGATATATCTAGTGGGTTTATATCTAGTGGAGTTGTTTTTGTTTTTATAAGAGGGATTAAAGGGGAATCTGTCACCTGGCCATGATGTAGTTGCGAAAGTTGATGATGTTGAAGCGGATTCGGTGGTGGAGTGCTCGGCGAGCTGACAACTTGAACGGTCCCGTGCTGCTGCAGATACGGTTCCAAGAAAACATCGCTTCTGTAAAAAGAAATGCGAGAGACACTTTGATTTACAGATAGATTGAAAAATCTTTTTTTTATTTTTCTTTTCATTTTTTTATATATGGTATAAATGACACACACACACATATTTCAATGACGCGTCGTGTCACCTGCATCGTTCATCTTTTGGTGGTTTGACAGTTAAATCGTATTTTCGAGCGAATCGAATTTCCCAAGCGCTGTACTCGTTGTTATTTCCAGCAAATTTTGACCGTCCATTGGATAAATATCAGATAAAGAAAGAGAGTGGAGGGTGTGCGCGAGTTGACGTATGTAAAGGCTGAAAAGGACGGCCGTCATGTACGCATACGTGCACAACGCGACGACGTATTATCCATTCTGCGTTTGACATCTGGACATTCTATCAAGGACCAACTACCGTGCTGCCTTGTCAACGTGCGTTACGGTTTTGTTGTGACGGATCACAAAACCCGAGACTTGATCGATATTTTAAATATTTATTTGAAGGAACTTATCACGACAAAGAATATCGCGTAGAATTGAAGAATATTTAAATAATTGATTCTCCAAGATTATTGCATTATTATTGCATATAGTTGAGTCTAGTACTCGCAATCAGTAGAAATAAATATTAGAATCATAGTGTGAATTAATATGATGATTTTATAAATAAAGATTTTATTCTATCACATGGAAGTTTATATTTTCCTAAACGTTTAACTCGATTAGCTATCGGATCGATCGGAGTTGAATTCGATGACATTTTCCGAATCGATCGGTAACAGCCACGGTCCACGAGAGGGTGGTTACGATCCTGAAACATGATCGTAGTGTTCGTCGTCTGCGGACGAGATCAGATGGGGGTTGCCATGGCAACTGAAGGTTCTCAACACGTGGTCCTCCTCCGGTCACCCTTTCTCTTTCTCTTTCTCTTTCTCTTTCTCTTTCTCTTTCTCTTTCTCTTTCTCATTCTCTTTCTCATTCTGTTTCTCTCTCTCCCTTTTTTTCCCTTGCTTTCTCTTACACGAAGGTATTTTTATGTACTTATTAACGAGCCACTATGCATCGACTTGCACACGTCTCATGGAACATAAGGGATTTGAAGCATACACTCGTCGGGAAGGGATCGACCCTTTTTCTCGAACGAAAGAAAAGTCTCCTCTCTCTCTTCCTGAAAGACTCACCTTTCTTTCTTTCTTTCTTTCTTCCTTCCTTCCTTCCTTCCTTCCTTCTTTCTTTCCTTCTTTTCTTACTTACTTGCTTTCTTTATTTTATTTCGAAAAAGAAAATCCTCAAAATGTTATGTGTTAATATGTTTGACTTATTGTTCGTACGTTTTGATTTTCTAATCGAGAAAATGAATTATCTTCGTGGTCGATATCCGGTTCTTCCGGTCGGAAGAAGGACGCGAGACTTACGCTCGATTTAATTTGCCCAACGACACGATTGCACCGTCTCGTCCCATTGCCCCTTCCTTCACCCTTCCTTCACCCTTCCCTCACCCTTCCCTCACCCTTCCCTCACCCTTCCCTCACCCTTCCCTTTTATCGAAAACTTTTACGCGTACAAACTCTGTACTTTATTCTTTGACTTTTATCCGATGACTTCGTTCGTTGTAAATGTTGAAGGATCGAAGGGAAGGAAAAGTTTCTTCTTTTTATACGTGTTAGGTAGACACAAAGTAATAACAAAGCTTTTATCATCGTCAATACATTTCGAGAGATGAGAATATTGAGAAAAGAAATCAAATATCTTTTATCTAGAAATATATTCATTTGAATACTTTATTAAAATCACACGTGTACAATTGTATAATACACAAATCCTCTTTATAGTTATATTATATTAAAAAACAAAAATTGTGTTTAAAGTATTTAAGTTGAAGTATTATAACAACATAGAACACGACGCTTTAAATATTTATAAGTTAATTACTTATATATCCGGTAATTGTAGTCTTGTTTCTTGTATGCAATATTTGCCTTTTCGTAATTGCGATTATTATTCAAGAATGAAATAGGGAAATATTGTTCTTCTGACGTTAGGACTATCGCATATATCCATCGGTTGGATAAGTAATCAAAAAGTTTCCGAGTAAAACGATATGAAGTAAAAGTAGAAGAAGACGAAGGGAGAAGGAGGACTCCATAATTACCATCCTTTTCGAAGAATATTTATGGTGTTTCCAGGATGTTTTATACCACAAGATAATAACTGGCGTTTACCAATAGAAATTGTTGTATATAGGTATAATAATAATAATAATTATTATTATTATTATAAAAGAGGATAGGTAAGAGAATACGTTTAAAAGGGCTTGGATATCAATCAACTCCTTTGTACTTACTACTTCCACATCCTTGTTTCTATCTTGTTCTACTTGCAGTAACCAGTATATATTACATATACCTACTAGAAGGAAAAGGAGCATCTACATCATGTCGGCATTATCGTATGTCTCCGTAGTAGTAATCTTTTGTTCCTTTTTTGGCATCGTATTAACTTAAAAGAAAATATACCAAAAGTAAGGAAGCACCACCGTTTATTCGTTCGCGAGAAAAAGCACCTGCTGAAACCGGAAACACTTTCGTAAGAAACGAGTTATTATTATATGAGGGACTTTGTGTTTTCCGTTTTTGTTTACAACTTGGGTTCGCTAACTGGCCCGAATTTATAGAACATTTTATAAAATTTACATTTTTCAATGTTTTTTTATTGTATCATTTTTGTAACATTTAATATTGATAATAATTCAATGGAAATAACTGTATAATTTTGTCATGCGAATATCTTAAAGGTTTAGCCAACAAAAGAGAAAAACTTTCTTGTAAAATTTATTTAGTTTATGCATTGATTCAAAGAATATAGTTGATAATAATCGTGAATATAATAATTTCTTTTCTTTCTGTTGCTTAAAGGAAAGTAGTAAGAAAGTAAGAGATGGAGATGAGGATTTCCTTTTATAAATAACATCCTAAAATTAGAAAAAGGAGAAGAAGAAGAAGAAAAGGAAAGAAGGAGGAAACATGAAAATAAGGGATGAAAACAGGTAGACTCGTTTAAAGTCACTCTCCGTGTCCGTGTTCCTGTTGCGTGTGTGTATGTATTGGCAAAGAAAAAGAAAAAGAATAAGACAAGGATAAAGAAGGAAGGTAGTAGCGTGGTAGCAACGGCAAATGGCGGCAGCAACCTATCCGGTTTCCTCCGTCGAATGAAACCGAAGCCAAAGAGTGCCTCTTGGGTTTCACGTTGGGACTTGCGAAGTGAGCTTACGTTACACGAGGTAACACGCGACACTTTACGCACTAAGTAGCGCCACGGTCTGTTTCAGATCCGTACATATGTCCCTGACGTCACCCGTTAGATTGGATTCCTCCTTCCTTTCTTCCTTTCTTCCTGATCGTACTACCCAACACCCCCCCCCCTTTCCCCTCTCTTACTTCTAGTTTGTAATTTTATTTCTTTTCCTTACTTAAAAAAAAATCCTATTATCTTGTTTTTTTATGTTCTACATTTTAATAGGCATGAAAAACTAAATCTGTCCGTAATATTTATTTTCTTAATAATATCCAACAACGCGATTTTCTATTTTAAACTTTCGGACTTATGTATATATATTTGTATTATTTTTTGAAAAAGATTCATTCAAATTATTTATAAGAAAAGTATTCAACCTTGAACACAGAGAGCATCCTCGCATCGTCAACATCCAACTCGTTCGTTCCAAGAATATTCGGCAGACTGCTCTAGTATTTTGTAGAAAATATTCGTGTTAACAGACAGAACAATTTAGGGTACCTAGTGCTATAAACTTCGAGGTTGACCTACTTGAATGAAAATTTTACAAACATCGAATTTATATTTTAATAGATTTTGGCCATGTAATTTACGACTTTTTCACGACTTTATTAAAAAGGAAAAAGTAATGGCGCATAATAATGAACGGAAGAGAATGGAAGAATTGAGTCGACGTGGTAGACATGAGTATCACGAAAGAGAGGAAACAAGAGAAAGAGAGAGAGAGAGAGAGAGAGAGAGAGAGAGATTGTTCTCTATTACACTCTCTTGGTAAATGAAGAGTTATTTGCGGTCTAACGTTAACGAGCATGTTCTACTTCCGGCCTCAAACGTCGTCTTGCTTGTTTCATTAACCATAATGATCTATGCTATTCCTTTAATGTATATGCATGTGTTAGATAAATTCAATAAAATGAAAAAAATACATATGTAGAAATAGCAATTTTTCATACTATACAAATATTTAATTTTCAATGATATTTTGTCGTTGATTGAAAATGTCGTCTTTTAACTCTTTGGAGCACAGTGGGATTAAAAGTGTCCCACATTTTTAGTCCCACCTCGAAATATTATTGCAATAGCTACACATACTCATAAGTTTATATTTCGTCTTATTTACTCTAAGCAATTGGTTATTAATGTTTTTACATTATGTAATACCTTTATTAATAAAAAATATATACCAATTTTATTTAATTTAAAACGTGCACCATAGGGATATTTTATTATCTGAAATTCTGTGCCGCTAAGAGTTAAATTGACGTAGGATCATTAACGTTACGTAGGAATATAGTTAGAACAATTATACTTGTCCTTAACGAGCGAGTGTGTAATAAAACAAAAAGTTTCGTTTTATCTTAACGACGGAAAAATGGACTCGTTTTAATTATTTTTATATCTTAAAAAAAGATTCCTTACATGACACTCGCGTCATGGAAGAAAGTCGGAAAGAAATCAGATTAATAATTATACAAGCTTGCAATGCATGGTGATCAAAAGCGTACAGTAAAATCCTTTTTAAACCTTTCTACTTTGTACTTTTCTATGAAAGAGAGAGAAAGAGAGGGAGGGAGGGAGAGAGAGAGAGAGAGAGAGAGACAAATAGACAGACGAATAGAAACACAAAAGAGTTCAAAGGAATTCTCGTCTCGCTTTTAGATTATTTTTTTGTTCTTTTATTCATACTCGTCTGGTAGAATATATACATATATTTTCTGTTCTTTTAGGTATAATTTTAATGCAAAAAGAAATGATATATAAAATACGGATCGTTACAACAGTTGAAATGCAATATCAACAGAATTGAAAGTTCAAATGGAAAGAAGAGGATAGGGGGGAGGAGGAGGAAAGGTTCCATTCGCGAACGTTGATATCTCGATAGACGCATAATACCGTTCCCTGAATAAGTATAATAATATCACATGGTTGCCCTCCTCACCGCTCTTTTCGACGAGATCCTCGAGAGGATATAACCGAAAGCTGACATTCCTTCTTCTCCCGAGGATCGACACGGGAATCGACACGGGAATCGACACGAGAATCCATTTCCACCGTAGAAATTGAATCTGAGTTGTGGATGAGGTTCTACAACTACTCTCTATATTTCTGTATCTCTGTCTCTTTTTAGTTGAAATCTTCGAGGACTGTTAGTCGAGAAAAAAATAAATTTCGTTATATCGAAGAATAAGGAGTAGAGAGAATTTAGAAAAAATCTATCATTATATTAAATCGAACAAAGAGAGAGAGAGAGAGAGAGAGAGAGAGAGGTTTAAATAATCTTTCAAATAATGTTGAAGCTTATAAAAGCACAGATATTGGGGCGGATTTTCAAGCGGAAAAGTGGATTCGTTAAAGTTTGGCCGAGAAAGTGGATATTATGCCGAAGGAGAAAAAGAAGAAGCATTTAACCGATTTTCTTTCAGACGATATCCTTCGTAGTTAGATTAGTTGACCCGATTTATCAAATCTTATTGAGCAAAATCTTGGCAGCTAAATTTAATCTCGTTTTATCGAAAACGTAGTTGGCCACGCGATTCCGCATATTTAAACTATCAAACTTCTTTTATAGATATTATAATTTATAGAAATGTATTGTTCCATGAAGATAAGAAATTTAATTAAAAACATTTGTCTAGGATCATTCTTTCGTCTCTCATAAATCGTTTAGTAGATTTGTTTAAGAGGAAGCATTAATGCAAATAATAATTTAACAATTGGTTCAAAGTCCTGAAGGAATAGATTATGATGAGTTCTCATTTTCATCGATGCTTTTTTTCAAAGGCATCTTACATTTCTCAGCCAGCAATAAGTTCGACCTTCGAAAAGATAATCAACCGACAAAAGAATCTGGCCAAGCACATGCGGTACGCGCATGCATTCATTCACGTTCGCGTGCGAATTAACGTGATTGTGGTTGAATTAACACGCGTACGTGCATTCGAATAAAACTTTGAAAGAAAGGAAGAGAAACAGGAAGAATAAGCTGATAACTATGCTAAATTTGTTCGAAGGTACATGCAACTATTTATCATAGGTAAACAGTGTATCTTTAACATTATCTACATATTGGTACGCAATTAAAATACTTATTAATTGAAAATTAATGAAATATTTGACATAATTATATATGATATAATATATAAATTGTATAAATATTATATTTGTTTTATTATATTATACTCGTAAATTTCAAAAATCTAATAATAACAGTTATTACTGATAAAATAAAATAGTTATAGGTTTTATAAGTAACATAGAAATTGTGAATTGACATTTAATTATTCAAACTTGTAATGCTTATAAATAATTGGATTTTTTTGTTACTCAAAAGACTAATTAACACGCGTTATCGTAGTTTTTAAAAGAAATGTTTTCTCATCTATAAAAACACTTAAAAACAAAAAGAAAAAGAAAAAAAAAGAAAAAGGATAGTAACGAATCTCATCCGTGGTCTATTCGTGGAGTACCTAAGCGGATCACGGTATTATAAGCTGCTTACGTAAGAATGAACCAAAGGGCTTCGCGTTGCCAGTCACTTTGCTATCATATTTCATATTAACCGCTGATTAAAATCGATTTTCTTATGACAACACACATACTTCTTTCTCATTCATTTTTCCTAATGACAATAACGAACGATTCATTCTTTTGTTAAACACAACATTTATGCATAGTTATGTATATTCATGAGAATACATTTCGATGAATTTTTTGACATTTGCATTTTTGATTTGAATTTATTTATTTTGGTTTTGTTTGTATCGATTTAGAGCTTAGCGCGTTTAAGGATATCGCGCATGATCGATAGATAGACATACTCGTATATACTAGTAAACGTCATCTAAATAACGTTGAGAAATCCCTCGGTAGGATAGAGATAGTACCCAGAGCAAGTTTACCAACCAGCATGATTGAGATTTTCTAGTCGACTGATCCGAATCAACTAGAACGTTGTGAACTGACAGAATATTGATCCAGTTTATTGTCAACAAAATGCGACTAATAAAACAAGAATTTGTACAAGATAAGATTTATAGATAAGAATAATACTTTGGTTTATAAAACAAACAAAAGTCGACAAAAATTGTTCTAAATTATTCTACCGCGTGTAACATTACGTTAAATTCATTTAATATGTTCTTTTAAAATCAAGATTAATTGTATCATTAAATAAAAAACAAAGTAATTATTTGACATTATTCACTTGTAATTTTTAGATAGAAAAGTTATACCTTGTAAGAAAAACCAAATTGAATTCGTATTATAGTTTTTATTACAATCTTTATTCCTGCATCTTTTTCTCTTTTGATATGTTAATTGAATTACGATAAAATTACATACGAGTCACGTGTAAGTTCCCGATATTTTATTTAATTTTGTTTTTCTATTCTAAGTATAAAGGAGAAAATGCGAACGTCCAACGACCTCGAGAATAAAATCGATTTGTAATTAGCAGTCACGCAGTCGCAAGATGCAGCGCCACCATTCAACCCGTTCATTTTATCATCCTACAAACAAATATTACACGTTTCGTTGTATTTTAATGCTTTCTCTCTCTCTCTCTCTCATTTTCATTTTTTTACATTAAAGAAAATGCACATGCGAGGTGGTGGTATCGGCACGATGCGATAGCTGTCCTTAATTCGTAAAAATTTCTTAACTGTATTCTTTTTCATTCGTACAAATCCAATTCGATACGATTGACGACGAGAATTGAATGAATATAGTTTTTTTTTTTTTTTTAGGAAAAATCAATCATTTCAAATAATTTCACATTATATCTTTCACACATACTAATTTATAGTATTAGTTTAAAATGTTATAAATTACTTGACCAATAACAGGTTTTAATTTATGTATTAATATAATAAATAAGATTTTTGGCAATCACAATTTTTAGGTCTAATTTATAGAAATTTTGCTAATGGTAACGAATGTATGAGGGGATTACATGAATGCAAATGCAAGTAGTTTTGATAAAATTTGATTTATATCATTTTATTCTTGACCGTGATAATGGTTGAATAAATTTATATAGAAATAAATGAATGTAATATAATTATTGACTTCTTAATAAAATACGTTCTTAATATAAATAGTAATTGAATGAGATCATAGTTTATAATAATAATAGATGAAAAATTGAAAAAAGTATAATTGTTTACCTTTTAACACCAATTTCAGCGTAACGACCCCTTGTAGCACCACGGCTTGCCACGCTTCTACCGTTGCTTGGATTCGTATACAACGTTAATATATCACTGTTAATATTGTTTATAATCGGTGGTAGCATTCTTGCAATATAAATCCAAACTATGATCTTTTGGTGTTAACTTATCGCATTTTATGGCGGTGATTAATTAGTCGTTAGTCGACAGCGATCCACAACACATTTCACTGTTTATTTAATTAATATTTTATATCTTTTTTTTTTCTCTATTCAACTCCCTGTGTTTTCTCCAGAATATCTGTGAAAATGAGAACGATGAGCAATCGTCGAAAATTCATGCACCTTTTTAGTAAATTACTGTTTCTTTTTGGTGGAAACAAGAGATGATTTTATTTGAAATCAGATTATATTAACGAGTAATTTTATAGATGGTAAGTGTTTATTTTGATAAACACAAATTATATATAAGTTATTATATACATATTTTTTTTTAAAGTTAGAATAAGAAACACTAAGGGAAAAAAAAAAGATAATTCGTTAAATAACAGCACAACCAACCACCGTCAAATTTCCTTCTTTGTGGTTTAAACGAGAAGGCTCGATTTGCTTAGCGACGAATGCGTTGTATATTACTATTATATTTCTATTTTATGAAAAAGAAAGAGAGTTTTATCTTTCGTTGTTTCCCTTTTCCATGTTACTTTGAAACATTGTTTGATAACGTAATAACTCGTTAGTTGTGAAAATATCTAATGAAAAGAGTTTCGAAAAAACTGAATCATCATCATCATCATCATCATCATTACCATCTTTATCATTTTTATCATTCATATCTGTTTTTCCTCGAAAAACGTTCGAGAGTTTAATTTTCAATCGTTGTCTCGTATTATATTGTATTTAAATCCAAATAATTGGTTATATCATTTATAAGTATATGTAAAGGGTGTTATTTACCTAGATTAATTAACCTAGCTAAATTAACTTGGATTAATGAAATTGTAGATTTAAAATATTAGTACAATCTAGAAATATTGTAAATTTCTGATTTTCCCTTATCAATTTTCTTTTTGATTACTTCAATAATAAATATTCTTTCCTTTTTGCTCTAACGAAAAAGAAAAAGAAAAAGAAAAAGAAAAAGAAAAAGAAAAAGAGTAAGTAAATGAAAACGATGGCTTCGTTCTACCGGTAATATTCCGTTTATTGGGTTCTTTTTCGTTGAAGCACGAACGACGGTAAAAATTTGATCGTCTACGGGGGCCTGGTGGTTCCAACGATTTCCAACGGTCTTGTAATAGGATCCTAGGCGCCATTAGAACCTTTTTTTCTTTCTTTCGGGTCAACCATAATGAAAAGAAAAAAAAAGTAGGAGCAAACAGGAAGGAGGCAATAGAATAGTGCTACCATAGTTGGTAAATATTCCAAATGAAGGATACCGAATGTACGTTGAAAGAGAGAGAAAGAATATTTAGGAAAAAATGTCAAGGTCCTGGGAAAGAATACTGACTGGCTGATTGTAAAAACGAGAAGCGAAAGGGACGAGAAACGAGCTCACGAGGCAGGCAGACTTATTACCGATCTGTGTTGATGATCGTTGATGATCGTTGATGAGGATAAAAGATAGAACGATAAAGATAGAGATTATAAAAGTACCAAAAACGTATTAAAAATACTAACAGGATATTAGTTCGAACGAGAATAAAACAGAAAAAAAAGGAATAAGTAGTCGGTATGGTACGGTAAGGAACACGTATGTGTTTCTTGAAAATCTCCATTTCAAGTCTTATTCAAAGTTTATAAACGTTGAGACACATATTTTTATCGATCTTTCTTATTTTCGGAATATATAAGTTATACATATATAAGTATATAAAAAGTTATATATAGTAAGAAAAAGTTAAAAAAATAAGATGAAGAAGAAAGAAGGGAAAATGGTTACGCTAGAAAATGAAGTAAATTTGCATGAACTCGTTTTCAGACTTTCTTACTTCGTTCCTTTTTGAATTAGAATAAAATTTACGGTAGGATAGCAAAGTCGGTGAATTTGATATAGCCGTTATAACGTTTATCTACGAAACGAGCAACAATAACTTGAAATAAAAAAAAAATCAAATAACTAGCAGAGAGAAAATATTGCAAGATTGAAGATAAAAATGAACGATGTGTGTTAGATCTTATTTCTTTCTTTAAATGGTGACGAAGAAATCAGGCCAGTTCATCTGATCCTAATTTACTATGATCTCAAGTGAAACATGTATATCTATAGAGATAGATCAGTAATTATCTAACACGGAATCGTAGTATGTTCAATGAGAATCTCACACAGTTGGGGTATAGTAATAGTAGAGAACGGCGGTAGTTTGCGGTAACTGGCAGAGACTTGCGATTATCGACCTTCATGTAGCCGCAATTCCCTGGCCAGTCGATCTGATTGGTCCTCAGTATAATTCGATTAACCCTAACGAATCGAATCCGGAGGACAGAATCCCAGGATAGATAGATGAAACCCCATATATATAATATTATACGTTGAAAAGGTTTAATAATGAGCTTAACATAGGAATCATGAATAGACTCGAAAATCATTTCAAATGCTTTGGATTTGTAATATTTCCTCTATTATTTGCTATTGAAAAAAGCAAAAAAAAAAAAAAAAGAAAATATTAAAACAATAAATATGGGTCATTGATAGAAAAAAATAATCAGAGAAAATATATATATTCTACAAATTAAGCGTACACGATTACGTATAGACTTTAATGAATCAACAGCTGCACATTCATTGTAACGAGCCGTTCGACAAATATTAGTTNATGAGCTTAACATAGGAATCATGAATAGACTCGAAAATCATTTCAAATGCTTTGGATTTGTAATATTTCCTCTATTATTTGCTATTGAAAAAAGCGAAAAAAAAAAAAAAAAAGAAAATTATTATTCCCTATTATATTAAATTATTAAATTTTCAAACGACTCGATATATTAATATTCTACAAATTAAGCGTACACGATTACGTATAGACTTTAATGAATCAACAGCTGCACATTCATTGTAACGAGCCGTTCGACAAATATTAGTTGCACGCGAGTATGATTAGTTGTGTAACGCGTATCACCGAATCGTCCGTGAACCATCATCATCATCATCATCATCTCATCATCATCTCATCATCATCTCATCATCATCTTGAAGAAAGACTACTAATGTAAAGAGAAAACAATTTCATTATTATTCGTCATGGTATTCGCGAATGAATAAGGTAAATAGAAAGTAGGTAGTCTGAATCTAATTGTAAAAAGAAATAAGAAAAAATAAAAAACGTTCTCACGATATAATAAATACGGAGTAATTATTTCATAATTATATCACAAAGAAATGATCTCACGTAAGTTGACCATGACTAATTTTTCCAATAAAATAATAAGATATTAAAAAAAATAATGTTAAGTCAAACGATAAAAAGAAAGAGAAATAAGATTAGAAAAGTTCTTGATAAGTATTGAGATTTGTTTCTTTTTTTCTCTTTTCTTTTCTTTTCTTTTCTTTTCTTTTCTTTTCTTTTCTTTTCTTCGAAAGCATTCTATTATCACCATATGATGCGTTGTTATCAATAAATGGTGCAACTACGTATAGAAACAAATGTACATCAGTGTATTATTCGGAAGAGTAGTGGTAGTACTACTACTACTACTGCTACCACACTACTATCATTACTACTACCACTACTACTACCACTACTACCTACTTGTTTACTATCACTCACGACTTAACGAGGGAAAGCTTGGGAGTACGGAGCAACGTACTCTCTCATTGGTGGTTGACTACGTATTCACCTCATAAAGTTCGACGAAGAATAAGAACGAGAGTTAGGAGAGAAAGAGAAAAGAAATAAAGAAGGATTTATTTTTTGTTTCTATCTTCAATTTCCTTTGCAATGTCCTGTCCAAGTTTGTCCAAGATCCTGACATTCGGCAGATACGTTTACCGAGTTTTATGAGTGTAGTTATATTATGTAGGTGTTCTCTACTTTACAATAGGTAAAAGCCGAAACGAAGAAAGAGTAGAAAATAGGAAGAAAACTTTCAATATCTTTCCACTTGGTTTGGTCTAATCGTATTTAGTCGAGTGGAACACCTCGATTATTGATTATTTCTCATCTTCCTTTCTATTTCTTTAATCTCACCTCACATCCCATCTCCTTTTATTCTTTTCCCCTTGGACCCATTCGATAGTCAATTTAAATTATTATAATACATTATTATTGCATTATAATATATGCTTTTTATCTAGAAAACAAAAAAAAGAAAACGTTTCCTTCTCTTCTATTTTTATATCCGAAAAAAGAAAGTTCACTCGTGAAATATTCATCTTTTACAAACTTTGATAAGCCATCCACGGAAGTGTAGTAGAAACAACTTCGTTGAACCAGATAGGAACGTATGACTCATAGAAATCCAACAAATCTCTTTCTCTTTTTCTTTCTCTCTCTCTCTCTCTCTCTCTCTCTCTCTCTCTCTCTTTTTCTCTTAACGAATACACACTTGCAATATACTAAACTCAATTTATTATTTCGAAGCTGGATATTCAATGAAAGACAAATCTTTTCAAGAGATGAAAGTAAAACAGAAAGACACCTAACTTTTGTATTACAAGTACAATGAATTAAAGTAAATTAAAGTTAAATATTACGAATCATTATAGATGTTTAAACTTATTGATAATTTCAAATCATTTGAAAGAAAAAATGGAGAATTTGATCCTCTTCGTTTGTTCTAATGAACGAAATCCAAAACGATATCAAGCATCCACCAACAAGAAGACAGTAAAGAAATAAACCAAAATGCATTTGGTATAAAAATAAACTGACAGGAAATATTGATAAACAACAAAAATATGGATTATCATTAGAAAAAAGAAAAACAAAACTAATCAATGAATCAAGCAAGAAATCAACCAACCAACCAACCAACCAACAAACAAACAAACACTATTAGACGTGATTTATTTTACATGAGAAGGTATTTGTCGGTAATATATGCGAGATCAGTTATAAGGCGTCGAGACGCCGGTCGGCGTCGCGACGTAACGCGCACAAGAACGCGACTACCGGTCTGAGAACGTTACAAACCAACGGAGTGGCTTGTCCTCAACTAAACCAGGGGGAGCCGGAAAGGTGCACATAGAGAGGGGACCGGCAAACGCACGCGCACTACGAATCACCATTTCATTCTACATAGAGTGAGAGAGAAAGAGAGAGAGGAAAGGAATCCCCCATAAGAATTTTCATGTCTTTTCTA